AGAGAGAGAACTTTACCGGAACCCCGCGCCTACCCCATCGACGTCACTGCGTACGTGACCCGGAACACGATGTGGGAGTTGAAAGGTGGCAAAAACATGGATCTTTTTCATTTTTATTAATAAAAACTAGGGTATCCATGCAAATGCTGTTTTCTTTAGTTCACTTCAGAAGTGTCAGGCATCAACTTCCACAATTATTTAAGCAAAACCCTGAAATTGTTGCACAGCTCCTTTAATGTTACATTACAAAGTGCATAACGGGATATGGTGGTCTGTGCTACATGCACCAAAAGCTAGACGTTTACAAGATAACTCCCCACCTCTTCTATCAGTACCTACAATTATCACAAAGCTTATAAAAAGATATATGGCAAAATTATTGCGAGATGGCCGTACCTCACCGCCATAACCTTTTCCCCAAAGCCGGGGTCACACTGCTTATATACATCATCCAGAAGACAGTCTGCAAACAGATTCAAACTCGAGTCACCAGGATATCTGAGCTTTGAATGCCGCAAGACGACGAGTTACCTCGCTTCTGTTTGCTTCTGGTAGAAGCAAACACCACAATATAAACCGCAGAAATTGCGTAATAAATAATAAAAATTAAAGGGGCAACACGATATCCAACCTTGTACTCAGGCTGAAAAAACTATGTAAAACAACGGGCGGAAAAAAAAAAGTGCAGCATGATAATTGTTATTTAGGGAAATACGCATTTTTTTATAAAAGGAGCTAAATGTTTTTTGAAGTTTTATACGCGCTACAGATTGCAGTCCAATATTTGTTGGACTGCAATCTGTCTTTCTGTTTTCATCGCCTGATTTTGCATCATCATTGGAATCCTTTTTTCTATCCCAGTGACCCTCGCTGCTTTATAGTTTCATTGTATAGTCTTCTTGTCAATGTATATTTTGATGGAGCTTTCAGCTTTGTAGTTTCACTGTTATCTTTGTCATTGTATATTTTGATGGGTCATTGTTATAACTTTGTGATTTACTAGATTTTGATATATGTATATTTTGTATATCTTGTATTTCTGTGCAGCAGTTTTTCCACCATTGTTTTCTTGTTTCTGTGAAACCCTTGTTTTTTGTAGCATTATTTATGTTTCCGCCCACCCTGCTTGGACCTAGAAAGGTCCGCAGTATGTACTAAATAAAATAAATAAATATCAAAAGCCGCGCTTGGAGCGCTAGCCGCAACATATCCAGATGCACATCGAAAATTAAATTATCGATGTGCATCTGGATATGCTCAGTTTGTTACGCGCTGAAAAAATTACGGTGACCCATACCTCGAACCGACTCCCTTTAACCCGTATGAAAGACGATGGATATAAGGAATAACGGCGACGTTCTTTTTGTCTATCTTGGCTTTTTTTTTTTTTTTGTCAGGTTTTCTGGAATCAATCTTGATGTGCCGAGTCACCTTATCACAGGCCACGGTGTCACAGGCTGAAGTAATAACGGAGGCAGGTAAATTAGAGTCTCTGAGTCTAGCGACCTGTGCTGAGAAGCTGTCTTGCATCTTATGAAAACCAGGTTTTTGTCAACGCTGACTGTAAGCAAGAATACGCTGTACCATTTTTCACGAGCTTTGAGTGTGCCGAACGATAGTCTAGTAATTTCTTCGTGGATCTGGGGTGGTGCACCCAGCATACATGATCTTCTTTCACGTCAACTAGGATATCTAAAAACTGGATTTTGTACTCCTTACAAGCTCAGAGGTGAAGCGAAGTCGTAACCCTTCCTCCGCGAACGTCCTTAACACTTCACTCATTGTTCTGCAAAAATATTTTTTCTCTACGAAAACCAAGTAATCATCTACAAATCTAACAACTTTTTTGGTGCTCTTCGCCAGCCTGTGCTCGAGGGCCCTATCAACTTTATACTAGAAAAATACTGCTCCGCATAGGGGCCACTCTTGAACCTATACATACATACACCTGACTTTTGTACAGTGCTAATCACACTTGTCTAGAACGCGCGAGCGTGCGGCTTTCTCCGGGGAACGCTAGACAGATGGCGTGTGTGCTTTGTCTCTCAGCTCACCAGGAGACGAGGCACGCACGTCTGCCCCCCACTGCGACACTCGCCACGTGATGAGTGAGGGACAATAGTTGCCCCGGGCTCGCGAGAACGCCCGACACAGAAGCACAGAGTCCTGCCTGTCCTGAGGTAAAGCGACGCGTATGTCTAGGGGAGCCGCCAGGAAAGCTTCAATTGCAGCTGGGACGAAAGAGTGCCCATGTCGGAGTGTGCGCGCCCTTAGCTGCTCAGGTTGCCCGGAACGCCTATCGATCCGAACAACACTTTCCAAATAAGTGTCGCACATTGAGCCGTCCAGGAGTCGGCACAAAAGTTTAACACGCGCTACGACCCGCCGGTGGTCAAGAGAATGCCAGTTCACTTCCCTAAGTCTGCCGTACCGACAGAAATTTCTGCCGTACCGACCAATTTCTGCCGTACCGACAGAAATTGCACTGTCGTCGGAGCATGTGTGAAACCAATTGTTACAAGTGCCAGCTGTTGCATTGATGTGTTTTGCATATACGCCGCATTTAAAACAACCTTCAGTTTACATGGAGTTTGGCCTTTCATTTGAGTGAACAGCAGGATACGGGGGGGCGGGGTACTGCAGTGGAGCGTCTGCTAACATATAAACACCGGATGGGCAATGACGGAACCCTTGGAATCTGGTGGTTGTATGTGCCACCAGCCAGTGTCTTATTAGATTTGCGTGGCTAATATACACCACCCTAACGCTGACTGGACAAGGGAAGTCCCTCCTCCGCCTAGGCAAGACAAACGACTTGCATTGCTCCACCAGTCGGATAATCGGTTTAGTTCCCTCCCAGTGTCTGGTCTCGCCGTCCTTAAACTCGCTAAATCAGTTGCACTTTGGCAAAAGCGGGCAGAAGCCCTTTGGAATAGGCGATCAAGCGCCTTGCAGTCTCCCTTTCACACGCTCCATGTCTCGATGTTTAACTCTCTACATCCAGTTTGGCACTCTCCTGTCCCGGACCCAAACAACGTTTGAATCATCGTACCTTATACGTTCTCTGGCAATGTCCATGTTGCATGATCTAATGTCTCAGTCTGCAACCCATATTTCGCTCTCTAATCATCATATTTTCCATCACGTTTCTCTACCATTGCTTTAAAAGTTTGGCCTAAATTTTCTAATTCGCCTCTTCCATCTTGCGTCGACGCTTCTGTCGCCAGGGTCGGATAATGCCCTACACTCGAGGACAACTTCACGTGACTATGCAACGAAAGGTATGGGAGCGCGTCAAAATTTGGGGGTTTTACGTGCCGAACCAACAGTGCATCTGGCACACCCCGGCGCAGGACCGGAGATTACTTTTGACCACCCAAGAATCTTTCAATGCGGAAACAATATCTCATTTACAGGCACTTCCGCAATAAGCCTCTTTCAGATCGTGGGCAGTGCGACCGAGATTCGAACCTGCTACCCGGGGATCCGCGAGCCGGCGCTTCGCCTCGGAGTCGTCAAGGCGGCGTATGGGAGCGAACGTTCTCGCGCAGCTCGAGCATAGATGAGAGCTACACGTGCATGCTCTTTTTTCTTCCAAGGAGTTGTCCCCAATTGTAGCGGTGGCGGCACAGAAATCTCTACCCATCGTAGCCTCGACTCGGCTTCGATTCCAAGTTTTGATGGACCCCTTTGGAAAGTGCTTGCTATCTATAGTTGGTGACAGGTTAAAAGTTCAGGGGAAGCTCCTCTGACCTTAGCAGAGCGAACGCTGGAGAAGAGCTGACCTTCTGCTCCAGCGTTTGCTCTCCTAATGCGGAGAAGGGTGAGAGAAGCTTCCCCTCAACTCTTAACTGGTCATGGACTATGCTATAGTTTGTTGCAACTCAAGAAGCTAGGGCGAGGAAAAGGAAGGTCGGGGAGGAGGAAGTAGACGGAACACTGGAGAAGAGAGGGGGAAAGCTCCTCCTCTCTTTAGCGTTTCGGCTGCTTCCTCTTCCTCGGCCTTGTCGAGTTGCAACGGACTATAGCTGTGGCGCCAAGTATCCGAATAGTTTTGGCACATACTCTAATACGTCAGCATTGAGCGTGAACCCTGCCCATTCTTCCGGCGTCATGTTTAATTGCTCTGGCCCAGAGCCCTATATCGGGAAAGTTTGGCCAGTTTACGATTTCGCCGCCGTAACACCTTTCTCCCGAGTGAGCCAAGCGGCCCGCGGCGCAGAGCCAGAGGCACGAGCGCATAAACTCCCAGCTGCTGCCTGCCGGGTGGGGAAGGCCGCCATTTTCATTCATTTGCCTGGTAAAATGCGCAGGATCGACATCTAAATTTCGCAAGCTCTGGCAAGAAAATGACATAGTGTTATTTTTCGATGCGTTAAAAAGCTTAAGGAATGCAGTTCCTCAATATTAGGGCACAGACTTTTATACGGGCAAAAAAAAAAAAGTCGGCCCGTAGCAGACGACATATAGCCTCAACAGTGCTTCTGCACCGAAAGCGCGCTCCGTCAAAATGGCGCTCATTTCCTCTTTGCTTCCTCCGTCGGCACTCTCCTCCCTTTTTTTCTCTCCGGTGCCTTCGTTGCCACACTAGTCACAGACTCTCCCAATATATGGCTCTGCTCTGGCTATGGTTGTGAATAACTAAATTTGCGGCTCCGCTTGCTGTGGGCCCTTGACAGAACTCTCTCTATGCACGCCACTGGGGCTCCGCTCGTTCCTGCCATTCATCTCGTAAACTGACCTTATCGATTCCCACCAAGCTCGAGTGCACTCCGAAGGAGCGCCAGAAGCTCTAGAGAAAAGTAGAAAGTAAGCGGGGATTTTTTTACGTATCCAAGAACAATCCCCTTTTCAGGTTTTTATCTCCCAGTATGATTTGGGTGGGAGTTTCTCCAGAGGAATACAAGTGCCCCATCTCAAGAGAGTGTGGTTGCCTCGACCGTGTATGTGCCTCCGGAACACTGCCTCGCAGCGTGAAGTGGTTAAGCAAGCAACAGTCGCTCGTTCTTTGAAACGGTATATTTTTGCAGCCTGCTCTCGGGCCAGAAGTGCCTTTGGACGGTACATCCCTGGCACAAACAAATCTAAGCAATTCTCTCATGTAAACCATTAATAGGAGCTTCGGAATAAAAAACAGATAGTGAGTGACGTATAATGAATGCATACAGTGGCTTCAGGATGCAGTGCAATGCTCGTTGACTGTCGCGCTGAGACTTTAAATAAAAGACCCGCATGGAGTGAAATGAACACGAGCTTTGCCTGAATGAGTGCGAGTATGGAAGAATGAGAAATGGTGATTTTCCTCGAGGCAGTAAATCTTTGGCAGGAACTGTATGAACCATGAACGGCTGTTAAGACAGACGGTGAGTCGTCGGGTCGAAGGAGACGTGATCAACGTCTACAACGTCCAATTCATCCAATGCGACAGCCGTAAAGAGTGTGGCGACGCGTATTTGTCGAGACTGCCCACGCTTTTTAAAAATGGCAATACCGAAACAGAAGACAGATGGTTCTATAAAAAAAAAAAATGAGAGCTACCTGGAGCTTACACTGCCACATTTGCACAAGGTGAACTCCACGCAAGGTTCAATGCTTCACCTCGGAAGTTCACTTCGGTGCTGGCACAGGCACGAGAGCGCAGCTCTGCAGATTCCTACGCCTGTTTGAGCATTCTCGCGTAGGAAAGTGCTTTTGAAGACCACACACTCGTGCCTGTACCTTTACCAGCACCGGAGTCAACTCTCGAGACACAATATGCACGGTCTTTTGGAAACTCCAGTGAAAAGTTTCCCCGAAGTCCTTTTGTGGCTCAGTGTTCTGGCCACCAGGTGCCGCAAGCATGTGGGGTCATAACAAATGAACGGCCGTAGGCATCTTGCACATTTGTTCGTCGCGAAACCAAAGATCACCAGGAGTTTTGGCCACTCGACGGAGGCAACGCAAAGCCACCGGGACCAGTGGCGGCGGGGCTGGGTGGCGCAGCCGGGCGCAGACCAGAAAGGCACGGCGGTCCTACACTGGGGTCCCGAGGGCCGGGAAGGCACGGAGGCGGGGCTAGAGGGAGGAGGCAGCCAGGGTGCTGGCAACCAAGTCCCCGTTAGGCAGCGGCGAGGGGCGTGTCTTCAGCAGGGCCACCAGCTCTTGGGTGCACTTGAGCCGGTCCCTGTCCAGCGCCAGCCGCTCTCTGTCCAGTGCCAGGCGGCGCTCCTCCAGAGCCACCAGGCGGGCGCATAGCCCGGCCTCGTCCAGCCGGGCCCGCTTAGGGGCCTCGGCGTCCGTCTGCGTGTGCACCGACTGCGAGACGCGCACGAGCTGAAGCTCGGACTCGTCCGAATCTGCCGGCAGGGCACGCTTGACCGGCGTGATGGACACTTCGCGGTTGCTCAGGGCCACTATGGTCAGGCTGCTCGGCGCCGCCGGGGGTGCCGCCGCCGCCGCCGGCGCCTGGACGCCCTGTTCCTGGTGCAGGAAGCTGTTGGCTGGGATCGAGCACACGCTGGCCGGGATGATCTGCAGCTGCGGGGTCGGGGTCCGCTCGGCGCCCATGAGCCGGAGTGCGGTCAGCTCGTACGGCTTGAAAGGGCTCGAGCGCTTGGGCAGCTTTACCTCGGCCACGATGTTGGACCACTTGCGGCGCACGTCGTCCGCGCTGCGCGACATCTTCCTGGCGAGCTCGTCCCAGCAGGCGCGCTTGGCGCCGCTCTCGCCGGCCGACAGGAGCAGCGCCGCCTTGTCGGCCACCAACTCGACCAAGCGGTCCACCTCCGACGCCGAGTAGGGCGCCGAACGGCCCTCAGTGCCGCCCCACTGGGTTCCCACGGCACCGGGGGCCCGGCGCGGGGTGGTGCGCAGGCGCGCCAGCCCGGGCTTCGAGCTTTCCATGGTGCTTCGAGCGCCCGAGTAGCGTCCACGCACCAGCGTCCGTCGGCAAGCGTCACTCCACGGACCGCGGACTCACCGCCGCCGCTGCTGTCCGGAACGCGGGAGGCGCGCGCTCCTTCCAAAACAGTCTCGCCATCGGTTCACCAGGGCTCAAGGTGCCAAAGGGGTCGCGGAGGGGTCCAAGCACACTGACAAAGAGGTGACGGCTCCAGAAAACAATCCGAAGCGCGAAATCGCGCTGCACTCACCAAAAAAGAAACGCGTTTTCTCAGACCAGCAATGGATCGAACCTGACGAACCTCTATTGTATCTATGCAAAACGAGATTCGAGGCTCATTATGGAGTTCGTAAAGTTTCGGAAGCTCGACCGAACCTGAGGTTCGCTAGGTTGAAGTCGAACTTATCGAACTTGGAAATGCAACCCCGGTGCGAGCACGACTGGCCGGCGAAGTGCGATAAGTTCGACCAGAGTACGGCCGTACGGCTCGGAGTTCGACCACATTCTACCAATTCTACCTCGTTGAGTTCGACAAAGTTTAGGTGGAAAGACGAATCTAATAGCGACACCCTTTATATTGAGCGGTAGCTTGCGCCACCTAGCCTAGAAACGAAAAGTATGGCCTCCGAGATCCCGAAGTAAGGTGGCCGCGCGCGGGAAAAGACGACGAAGTGCTTTGAGCAAGGAACACGACATTTTGCTCTCTCGGTATCTTTTACGTTTGAAACCTGTGTACTCGTATCCTGACCTGGCAGTTTTGTTTCGGCAAGTGGAACTGGGCTTGTCTCTTACTACCAAACGCCTCTGCACGTAAGGGACCACGTCTTCATCTGAGAAAGTAGCGAACATAGGTGACCATTCATCTTCTGATGTCACTCCTGGGCAACGCCCAACTGTAAACCCCATGGAAGACAGCCTTGCTGCCACTCCAAACGCCTCACCCGAATTTTCTAACTTAGAACATTCCGACATGGAGCAGGACAACGACTCTGGAGGACAATGGTGCATCTCTGGAAATCGGAAACGTGTTCGAAGTGATGACTCTCTCCGATTCTGGCACAACACGTGTGCCAAACAACGTCTCCAACAGTCTCACTGTCGTATATGCCCCGACTGACTCAGAGAAGAAATTCACTTCCCTTAGCAGTCTCAAGGTCACACAGGCTCTCGAGAAAATAAGTCCAGAATGCATTCTTCAAGTGCGCTACAATCAACGACTCAACCTTATTGCAGTTCACGTCCGAAACGGACATGCAGCACAAGTGCTGATGAGCAATACACTACTATGCGGTATCCAAGTTCGACCATAATCTCCGTTGTCAGGCAAAACAAGCGTCGGAGTAATTCACGACGTTGATGCGGATGTCACCGATGAAGAACTGGCACAACACCTACGATCAGAAGCCAAGATTGCCAATGTGCGACGACTTGGAAAATCTCGAGTCGTCAAAGTCGTCTTCAGCGGCAGCCACCTTCCGAGCCATGTCTTACTAGGATATGTGCGACACTCTGTTGTCCCATTCAAAGAGAAGCCCATACAATGCCACAACTGCGGCGGTTTCGGACACAAAAAATCGCCTGCAAACGCGCCCAAGCTTGCAATCGATGTGCCGAGAACCACGTTCTGACAGCTGAGGGATGCACGTCCAGTTCAGTGAAATGCATAAATTGCAGCGGCAATCATGAGGCTACATCGCACATATGCCCGAAGTGGAAGGAAGCACAGTCTGTAGCTACATATTCAAAAATGAATACCGTAGGGTTTCGTGAAGCAAGATCCGCCATCTTCCGTCAAAAAACGACCAGGGACACCACCGAGGGCACCAGAAGAGCATAGTCAAAGTCAGAAGAAACTGGTAAGGACACTTAAGGTGTATTCACACGTCGGACAAATTTCGGGAACCATGTCCGCGGACCTGTGAAATATGCGTATCACGTGGCTTCGATGTCACAACGGACTAGGCCGCGGACATACGAATTAATACTGCATGGTTGCCGTGGACCAAGGCGAGAACTGCGAGTCCGAGCTCGTACCTTTCTCGCTGCCTTCGCTGCACGAGATATCTGTTCAGGACTGGTATTTCCCAACGCTCCCACCTCGCGCCAGAGCCTTGGTGGTGCTTCGCTGCGTTCCAAGCTACAAGAAAACGGCCACGCAACGCACGTGACGGTCGATTCCAATCCCGCCAGCGTCTGATATACCTGGCATTGAGGACGACAACGATGAAGGATCTCAGCGATGAAGCGACGCTGTGTTTAATCGCACTCGTAGAAGAGTTTCCACAGCTTTGGTGCCTTCAAAACGACCAGTACCGCAACAACGGCATAAAATCAGAGCTCTGGAAACAAATTGACAATGAAATGCAACGGCGCTACTCCCAGTATGGGCCTTACACGGAAGGTGGGTTCATTGAAGGCGGACTAATTAGTGTCGACCCCGAGTTGTATTTGACCGCTTATTGTTGTCTGATATTTCAGAGGGAGTGAGGAGCTTTTTTCAAGATAAGCGACGCATCTACAGCCGGGAGAAGGAAAAGATCATGAAAACGAAGAGCGGCCAAGCTGCGGAGTACACGTACAACGGTAGATGGAGGTTCTACCGCAGTCTCCTGTTCTTGGATCGGAGCAAACCTGTCCTTTCCCGGGAGTGCAACGAATCTTACCAACACAATGATCCCAGTGGAGTGAGCAACGTTTGGCGGGTTGACCCATTCGTTTAACTTAATTTTTTAGACCTATCGAACGAAACGTTGTCGAGCGTTCGTTGATGGAGGTCACTGAATCCTATTAGCTTGGCTGACGTTCGAGTTCTGGCTTTGCTCTACACGCTTCAGCATTTTTTTTTTTCGTTCAGGCTTCAGCATTTTGTTTCGTTCACTCGTGTTAATCACGGTTTCTTGAAGTGTTGATAGTCTCTGGATGAAGCTGCGAGACACTATCCTAGGCTTTGACAACCGGCGGCCCGCGGGCCGGGTCCTGGCCGCAAGGCAGTTTCATTCAAATGTCAGGGCCACGCAACAGTTTTGACCTTAAATGCAGTGTACAGGGTCCTTCATTGAGTAAACTTTTTTTTATTCAATTTTGCAAGTGAAACGGCCAACCGCCGGTGAGCCTTCGATGGGTCCGACCTGCTGCGTCTATATAAAAAACAACTCTCGCTTCTCCCACAATACTACGGTGGTGACATCTACGCTTGTTCACGTAACCCATCGACGCGTCCTCTCTTCACTACTAAAACTATCTCTCTCTCTCTCTTTATCTATCCCTCATTGCTCTGAACAGTAAATGGCCGACACTTGCGATATTCTGTACATATAGTTCCTCTAGAGTAACGCATTCGTATTTCTTTTACCTTTCCAGATGGACAGTGAGACAGAATTGGCGTCTGTTATGACCGAGATGAGGGAACCCGTCCTTGGCACGCATTCCACACACACACCGCGCGGAACAACGAGTTCCAGTGTGGAAGCGTCTGGCACTCCTGTGAAGCGCTGAAAGTGCGATGACGGAAAAAAGAAAGCAGATGACTGCTCCAGCTCTGGGTGGAAAGAGCGCACGGTTGCTTTCACTAAAATTTCCGAAAGTTTTGAAACTGAAAAAAGTGGCGACGATGCTGATAATTTTGGAAGAGTTGTGGCGGGCCACATGAGAAGCCTGAACGGAACCAATTTTATTGGGTGTCAGGTAGAGGTACTAGAACTCGTCAAGCGTTACCTAGACCGACAGCAAGAACAAACGTAATTCAACGAACCCTATTTAAACTAAAAAAATGTTAAACCAAAATTAGCATTTCGCGCTCAAAAGTGAAGGGAATACTTGAAAACAAACAAATGCTCGTATCCTTTGCCTGTCGTACTTATTCCATTAGGACCTGGCGGCTGTTTTTGTTGGAGTGGGTGAGTGTGTTAGATTGCCAACCAATATTATAGCATGACGAAATAAAAAATAAGAAAACATTGAAGATTCTTTCAAGTTTATTGACATAAAGTTGAACAATTAGAGCATACCACAAAAAGTTTTGGTGGTCAGAGTGCCAGCACATGCATGAACGATTGTTAAGTAAAGGAAGTCGCAATATACAGCTCATGAAATGGTATCTTTGCTTCTGCTCTTGTCTGAACATACAGATAAGGTTAAATTTTGTTATTTATCTGCAGATTAAAGGGGCGGTGCAACGATATTCAATTGGGCGGTAGCAGTGCCGCTCAGTGACGATATTTGAATACGGCTTATAGATTGGACACGAGCATGGCGTGGACACTCGATTTGAGCTCGTGATAATCGATAGCTCGAGAAACATTCGGGTAGTGTCCTGTGTCCAATCGCTGCAATGACGACAACAGCCGAACCATAACAATGTCTGGAACTCAGCGCGTGTCCTGTGCCTTGCCAACCTCAGCGCGTATATGATCAACATTGGCGGCATATAATCGGCTCCAGATCACGGGGCAGCTTGTTCTGGCTGTGAGTTGAGGGGGTGAACTCTGCTCGTTTGTCTTTATTTTTTTCTGCGACTTCGATTGCGTGTGGTGAAAACGAACGGGTATTTCACAGATAATTAACGTCAGGGATTCGTTCTAAGCGGTATTTGCGCAAAATGCAAATATCAGTGCATCGCCCCTTTAAGGCCCGCCTCTTCCCTCTGCCACGCGATGGCGCCTTCTAGAGCTCTTGCCCCGGAGCGCCCTTTGTAACTTCGTAGCCCGAAGTAGATTGTCCTTTTTCGCTGGTGGTCCTCCCTCGACGCTTTAAAGGGATACGGAATCGAAACTTGAAATATAGAGAAAACATCAAGAAATGAGTTCAATATGATCAGCTAAGCCTGTAATGAATAATCGCACGGTCGTATTTTGAGCAGATGGCTATATTTTATGCTCTAAATGCCGCGATTTTGGCGAGCGCTTCAAAATCAGCCATGGAGGAGCGCAATGCATCTCGGGAGATCCGGCAGACGTCTTGACGTCATCATGCCTCGGACGACCAAGCGTACCGTAGTGACGAGTTTTGCCACTTGGAGGCGTCAACGCGTTACAATCTCGCTTTGTCGAAGTACCCAAGGGCTGTAGATATCGCGGGGCCAGCACGCGCACCAAACCTGAGAACAACCGAAGCACGCGTTTGCACGTCGCGCGAGAGCTGAAACCAAGGTGGCTCACTTCGTTTTGGCTCTTTCCACCAAGACGCCTCGGTATTGCGTTCAGGCCTAGGCAATCTATACCAGTGAGCGGGCATACCGCTGCGGCGCTGCTTTCAGAGGCATGTTGTCGTCACGACATTCCATTGAAGCTTCATAACCAACTACCAGGTGGTTTTTGATTATCGTTTAATTCACTTTAAAATATGTTTTCTGGCGTTTTCTAGCGCAATATTTATGTTTCTGTGGTTGTGCTGCTACCTGCGTCGTGTTGAAACAAAGAAATGAGCTCCAGAATTTGGTTTCCGTACCCCTTTAAAAAGCACAGGTGCAGCTCGCAAATAGTTGTGCAGCACACACGCCGCCTTGA